CTTCTTTCGTCTTCAGGGAGTCTCGGGATGCTACAGCTGAAGTTACAACACAGTATGTCGATGTTAACTCTGCAGGATGCTAATTTATAAACTGTTACATTCTTTTGCATTCACAGTAACTAATTTTGCGGCAAATTTAATGACTGCCGTTTCTCTAACATTGTCAGGAAGGTAAACCAGGTACAAAATCTGCCACAAAAGTCATATAGACATGACACAACTGAGTATAGTAAAGAAAACATGCATTTTACATACCACAAATAGAAGGTGTAGATATTCAATCAAATTAAAAGTGTTAGAAGAGATGACTGCAAATTAGTGAAGTTTCAAATGAAGTCTTTAGAATCCCGAAACGCAAGCGCATGGGGCTCATTGTACTACGTTGCAAGATCCTGATAACTACTGACCATACACATTTCTTGGAAAATCTTTATCAATGTAAGTTATCTGTTTGAATACAATGGTGGTACTCATAATCTGAGATTGCCACTTTGTTCGATTCTAATGGGAAGAATGAATTCAGACCATTGAAAATATTTCGCCCCAAGGGTATGAACACGCTCTTGCGCCAATTCTTGGAGGTGGACAACGGTTCCTTCCGCCTAAGACATACTGATTAGGTTGTGCATAATTTGCCGATTTGTAATCCACATAATTCTAGCACTAACCTTGGATTTTTGCATCTCTTGCGGACTCCACACCTGCCGCTCACAAAGGAAAGTTCTAAGGAACCACGATGACTGAGAGCTTTTGAGTGATTTAGACTGGGTTTGTTATAAACTAAGAGGAAGATGATGATTGGAGCCAAGTTTAATTTCTTTCACTACTCTTGTTTCGTCGCATTGCTACTACAGTACATCTGTCTGTTCGAAATGTTGCTTTTGGTTTTACTGGGCATGATTGAGAGGGGCCAAATCTGAAATCGAATTAATGGTAGCCTGTCGAGCAGTTGAAGCAGACTTGGAAGCCAGGGCTTATACATTGAGTGCGCGGACAAGCTTTGGACAGCCACTGATCAGGAGTAGGTCGGGTTAGATGGATGAATAGATCAACTGTGGAGCGAGACTCATCGGTCTCCGCTTCCCCATTCCTAGCGTTCTTAGACAAGCCCAGTTGATTAGCTTTGGACATATTTTTTAAAGGCGACAAGATGGAGAGGGAAAATACAATGTTCAAGAAGGAGGGGAGCTGCGGTCACTAGGTACGGGAGAGGACGATCCAATCACGAGATTCGAATTTTCTGCTTGCCTTCTCCCTGAAAGGTACATTAAAACAACGTATGTATTACATCAACCGTATCTGTTCCATTGGCTGCCTTGTATGCAGTTCACGTCCGACTCGAACGGGCATTCCCGCAACTGCGCCGTCAGCGCAGGGCCATCGACGCATGCATCTGATCGTTTCAGTATTAGTGCCTCCAACTGGTTTTGAGTACAAGACTCTCATACTTCCAGTCCGTAGCACTACCATACTGGAAATACCACAATCAATTAGTATTATTATGGCACTAATCATAAACTATACCTTCCATTTAAAATTGTGCAAAATTTAAGCAATAACCGATGACTTTACTGCTCCATTAGTAACGGCAGACATTCGACTCCTTTAAACCCTTCTTTCTGTCCCCTGAACTGCACCGAAGTTATTTAGAACGAATTTGGTGTTCTCCTTCCTGTTGGCATTCTTGCTGCTCTTGCAGCAGACACCGCAGCACATCGAACTTTGAAAGCCCCCTCCATGGTGTTTGTAGGGCTTCGCCTTTTACATCTCCTTCTTGACAGTAACGCTGTCGCCGCTCTTGCCAACGGTCGGTTATGCGCCATCACCAAGAGCACTGTCAAAGTTAGAAATTAGTGGGGACAGAGGCAGGTCAGGTAGCGAGCCAATGCAGCCTTCATGATGAAAAAGTTGAAAATGATACGTCATGATGTAACGCCCTCTTCTGCTCGACCACTTTATGCACATCTACCGTCTCCTCCTCGCTCTCTTCTGGTTGTCTTCACAAACTAGCTCTCTACTGTGTTATCGGCCCATTGCTACTGATTTCGGTAACAGGCGTTTTCATTTACACTTAATCTAGTCACGAATCACTTTTGGTTCATTTAACACCTAAATGATTATAGCAAGTAGTATCCTCATACTGTGGACAATACTACTTAATAATCCATCGTTGGTAATAAAAAGACGTGTTAAAACGTTTACCAATCTGAGTAGAAAAATTTCATTTCTTTTTAAATTCTACTGGTTTAGGGGTACCCGTATTGTCTCAGGGTGTGGGGAGGTGCGCAAATGCGCATGACTATTTAAACCTTCAACTCTGAAAGTGATGAATTTCTGGAGGTAGAAGTCGTAGGGTAGTGGACTACCGACTTGTCACCTGACATGGCTGATGTTAATTGGAAGATGCAATCAGGTTGACTTTAAGTGACACTTAAGACTAAGAAATAGTCCCTCTCATCAATGTTTCGAATGAGGTAAAATTACATCACAAGCTCCCACTGTCATAAAGGCCAATGTCTTGGTATCAAAAACTGTATCTTCTTATGGTAAAAAAGCCTTTTTGCGAACTTGGCAGGTTCTACATGACTCGCAGCATTGTTGTGGGCCCAAGCATCAGGAATACACGTTTCGCATGCTAAATTACAACTTATTTTTTAGCTACTGCAAGGCCGAAATATTCGCAATTAACCGACATATTGAATATTTCCACCGTGCAATGGCCAGGTAGTCAAATTTGTTGCCTTTCCAATCCGACATTTGGCTTCTTTTAACCTCTTGGCCTTAGAAGAAAAAATGACGAACTTTGAAGACTGTTCGTATTTTCCGCATGGGGGACATGTTTCCCACTTACTATGATAATTGTTACAGTGTCTTAAGACTGCCCCACAAACGAAAGAAGACATAATACTAGGGCGGAATCTGTCTTTTCGACGCACAGAAGGAATAAGGGACCACTGACATGACCTGAAGGCCATATCGCCTTGCGGACGTACAATGGCTAAACCTTCAATGGCCGAAAAATCAAAATCTGTCAATTTAACACGCAATCAAAGTAGTACATAGCTCCCCGCCTCTCCTTCTGAGCGTCATCCATGACTCCCACTCCTGTACAACCACCCGCATCGGCCATTGCGACGTAGACGGTGTTATAAGGAAAACACCTACAAAGCAAATTTGTGTCCAACTAAGAAGACAACTGATGGCAATGTCACTGATCTACCTGGGCAACTCTAGTAGATGTGGAACTTTGTCCTGTTTAAAAACTCTATTGAGGAAATAGGGAATTCGCAGGCTATCACGCATGCTCACTGCTAATTGTGAGAATCCTAGCTTAAACGTAGTCATTCAGTAAAAGACAAGATTCAAAATATTTCGCCACTTTGTTCACATTTCAGTGCTGTCCATTCATATGAATCTGGGTTATACCCACCTAGCGGAGTAGAAATATCGCATGTTCACCTATTTGGCATTGTCATACGAGTACGGAAGACAGTTCCACATATAACCTTTTTATTTGGTTCACGACTACTGTCGCTTCAGTTGTTAACAGCATTCCTGCGGGTCACGGGACTGGGATAATTGCCGAGGGTAGATGTCATTTTTGACCCCTCTGTTAAGAGTCGTCACGGATTCCCTCATCCCCAGCCCATGATCTTCTTTCACCTTATTGAGGTTCATCATCAATTAGCTGTAGGAATGAGGATACTTGGCCTGTAGGATGGGGTCCGCTTTCCGCTGCCACGAATGCAGCGCCTTGAGTCTTTCCTGCAGCCGAAAGAAGACATAGCGCTAGGACAGAATATGCATTGCTAGCGTACAGAAGAGCTGAGCATCTACCAACATGAGCCAGAGGCCGTGGCAGCAAGCGGAAGTACAGAGGCAGAGGTCTGGGTGTTTATGCAATAAAAACGTAGAGTTAATTAAACAATTCAAGTACTATAAATCCATAAGGCAGCACTACTTGACTAGGGTAATACGCGTTGCCATTACTCAAGAAGTCTAATGATCAAATTGAAGCGAAGAAAAAAAGTGGGCTCATGACTTAATCGCGATCTGTGCATTCACTTTAGTGGAATAAAAATACAAGTATTAGTGCAGTAATAAGGGTCCCTTTGTTAGTACGTAAACACTACTTGGTTTGGATTCTTATACAACATTAGGTGGCATATTCTTATTTTCATTGTACTCGATCAGTGACCATTTCTGTACTCAACAGCTTGTTTTATTATTTCTAATAAGCCTTGAAAGCTCTTGACACCATCGTCGAGTATGTTATGTGTACCTTGTCAGATCATGGTTGCTTGTTACGCCATAAAACAGCACCAATGCTACTTCGTGTAGTCGAAATATTTTTCCGTAATTTCGTTTAAAGCATTCGCATTACCTAAGCTGCATACATCTAGGCAGGAGCAAGGACAAAATTCTGAGATAGTGCTTAGTGTCTGTGGTCCCCCAGCCCCTCTGCAGGCAAACCGTAAACCTTGTTTCTCTACCACTGGGCCTTGCTACTATCTCCGCATAAATTAGGGCTGCTATGCTAATACCAACAAGTATCCTAATTCCTACGGGTGATTATTAAATCGTAATTACATGGAGGGGAGACCTCCATAGTGGATGGCCCAAGCAACTGGAGCCCTTCGCAAGAGGGCAAAAGGATGTCAACTTTTGACAAACTCACAACTCTTTCTTTACGAAATAACCACTTATGGAAAATGGCAAAAAACTAGAATAACGAAAACTACCCTAAATAAAGGCTTCCACTATATGTGCATAATGAACGTTTTGTTGAACGGCATCAGCGACTTCCAAAGAGGAGACGCACTCTGATCCCTCACGAACATTTGAATATTTTTTGGCATTTCACCGTTGTCAATATTAAATTAATGATTAATTTAGCTCTGCATTAACTCACACGGATGCTTCAGTCTTCGCAGATTGTGCTTTTGGTATGCAGTACGGCCTTAGCGTCATGCTTGTTGCTTCCAAGCGATTCTGTATTAGCAATGTGCACTATTCTCCACGGAACTTTGGCTTGTTATGACTTTAGCCAGGCCTAATTGCTGTAACAAATGTAGAATCTTCACTTAACCTTTAATTCCGATCCAAATGTATGCAACTGGAGGTATAAAAGAAAAACATTGAAAATGTACATGTATATGATCTAATGCGCAGAACTCTTGATCTAGCAGGAGAGCACCAACATTTCGATTTTAAAGACTTACCTTTGCACTCCGATTTATTAGCGTGTGGGAGAACTACCCAGGAGATCAAGTCAACAAGACCGGATTGCAAAATTTGAGGGACCTAAATGCCAACTTAGGTAGAGGTTTATGCTATCAAGCTTAAGTGTAATACTTATGTTGCTTGAATTTGCCTTTCAGGGAGGAGGCAAGCAGAAAATTCGAACCTTGTAACTGGATCGCCCTCTCCCTTACCTAGTGACTGCGGCTCCCCTCCTTCTTGAATATTGTATTTTCCCTATACATCTTGTCGTCTTTAATAAAGATGTCCAAAGCAAACCAACGGGGCTTGTCTAGGAACGCTAGGAATCGGGAAGCGGAGACCGAGGAGTCTCGCCCCACACTGGTGGCAGCGCCCGCTGACCTACCCCCTTTCGAGGAAGATATGAATTTCGAAGAGTGGCTCCTAACTGCCAAATTTAACCTTCCTCTCTATCCCCATTGTCAAAGAATACCTCTTATCCTTCGCGCTCTCCCG